GATTACATAAACTTGATAAGTATTTAAAACGCATTCGAAATATTTGAGTAATATTTAAATCTTCTTCAGTTCAAGTGTACGTAAGAATGAAATAAAATAGAAATTTGTTTAATGCTAATATTTTAAAATCGATCTCTAAATATTAAGACATGTTAAACAAAAAGGAGGCGGATAAACTGGTCAAGAACAGGTAAGACAAGGAAGGTAAGAGGAAAGAATTCAGGAGGAGGACTTTCTGAAAATAAAATTATTAGAAAAAGGATTAAATGGAGGTCTGCGAAAGAAACAAAATCGCAAATTAGGTTTGGTTGTATATACATGTAAATCCAATGGAATTCATCCATATGAAATAATAATGCACATTACGATGTTACATAAGATTATATTTTGCAACTTTCTTCTCTGCGGTGTTCTTTTAGTGGGCCGGACCCATTAAAATGTGACAAAATGTTCGTCGCAATGATACATCATTTAATTCTTCTTTTATTCTCCTTTTTTGGTCTTCCAATCTTTGTTTTGTCTCTTTACGGTGATCAAATAAGATTTAATCGCATTTACCATCAATTTCATTCTCTCAAACATAACGATTGGAAAAAAGCGCGTATACGTAAACGCGTTGTCGCAAAATCTACACTACTCACGATGATGAATTAATGATTTTTCTTTCACACATTACATACATACATACATATATTCTCTCTCTCTCTTTCTCCCTTTCCTCCCTCGCTCCCCTTTTCTGAGAGGGGAATAATAAAAGAAATATATACAATTCAAAACAACACGAGTCATACACACTGATCGCGTTTTCTGACAACAGAAAATAATATCTCATCCTCGCATGCATTTTTCTCTTGGCATCTTTAAATGTTAAAAAATGTTATAAAAAGATTTCGCATATCCTGAAGGGATGAGCCAATTCTTATTCTTGACTGTGCGAAAAAAAAGAAGCATTATTTGACAAATTGCTAAAAGCGATAAAATTTACGAATGTGAAGTTAAAAATCAAACAATAATATATAGTTTTTAATGCAAATTATCGTGTCCAATTTTTATTCGTATGTGTTTTGTATTCGGATCTATAATTCTTCTTTAATATTTAGATAGAAAATGTCACTTCTCGCAACTCTCTGATATTCAAAAGACCGAAATTTTTCGACTGTATTTAATTTTCATTTCGATAATATATATTCGATAAATCATACACACACGCTACACGCACTTTTTTTTCATCCTTTTATTCATCTTCTCATTATTTTCTTGTGGTCATATGAAAAAAGCACTCGATGCCGGCTAGTGTAAATGGAGAATGTGAAAACAGAATTAATACAACTCCTCCCGACTGTCACAAACAGGAGGGCGACGAACATTGTGCAAAGTAACAATCTACAATTGCGATTAAGTCATTACATCCTTTTTCATTTCCATATATTACTATTTTTAGAACCTCTGTAAAATAATGTGTGATACGCTGATTTTATTGAGTCATTTCACAAAAATAATCTAATCCGATAAAGAAAATGTGGAATAATATTTTTTGAACCATAAAAAAATAGTTTTATTAATTATCCACAGATCATCGTAAAGATTATATTTCATGTAAGAAATTAATTATTAATTAATATTTAACATTTTTCAAATTATTTTAATATGCTTAATTAACAGGCAATTTCGTTATCCTGCACAAGGTTCCTTCGCTATAAATGTAAATACACATTACATATACACATATATATATATATATATATATATACACACACATACACACACACACACATACGCACACACATATATTTATGTATGGACATATATATACATATATACGTATACAAACAAAATTATAAACTAATATTTCATTTTACTGTTTTAATAATTAATAATATTAATAATATTAAAATTAATCCATATTTTTACGATAATTACATATAACAAATGTTTCGCAGTATTTATTTACT